TTATTTATTTATTTTCTTTAATTGGATTCCAGGGTATCAGGTTTTGTTACGGATATCAATTTGTCAATCAGGGAAACAGCTATTTTAAAACTATTACATTTACAATTTTTAGGCATGTCCAGATGCAAACCGGCCCAGGACACCGCTATATATTCACTATTCGTAATCATCCGTCGATGAAGAGTAAAGAAATCGCCTTCGCAATTGCTCAGCGAAAATGGGCTGTCCTCAGTCTAGACCAGGAAGTAATGGTGGCACCGTTTACGTTTAAGGTAATTATTCGATCAAAATGAGTTGATGGCAAGCACTAATCATTATTTTGAAGAGCAACCAATACATCGGAGCCATAACCCTCTCTGCAGACTTCCAACTAAAGAAAAAGTGAGTGGAGGTATTTCAGGATGGAGCTGTTTTCATTGTTGATGGTAATTCTTTTTCAGTGCCACTTCTGATCCGTTGAATTCTGATTTCATGGCACGTGAATTTTCCATGCAATTTGGTGGTATGGCATTCACTAGAGGAGAATGTAACTTCGTCTTTCCAATTCAATGATCCAGAGAGAAGGGAAAAAATTTTACGTTATCTCTCGTCGTGAAGAACCTCGAAGGTTTGTTATTTATGAAAGATTCTTTTTATGTTTTTAGTGTTGTTTCTAATTCAGGCATTGATCTGAACACTGCTGCTGCCGGTGATGAAAAATCGAAACCTTTCCCAGTGAGTACCTTTCGCGTAAAGATCTCGTATATTGCTTGGTCAGGAATGATTATTCTGGTTTGTTCAGGAATGAAAATTCTGGTTTTATTATATCATGTTGATTGTTAAATGCATTTTTTTTGTGAGGTGTAATAATGTCGGGGTTAATCTGAAAGGCAACTTTAGATCGATTGTGGCCAACTCTTGCCTAATTCTGCCATAATCTTCGACAAGGAGGAAGGATCAACGATCAATCTTGTTGGGAAAAGCAAGGGGTTAGTGTATGATGTGCAAGCATATTCAGCCATTCTAACTAGTGTTTTTTTTTAGGAAATCTGCCTTTCGTTCTATAATCAACCCAGACTGGGATTTCCAAAAGATGGGAATTGGTGGTTTGGACAAGGAGTTTTCTGGCATTTTCCGGCGAGCTTTTGCTTCCAGAGTGTTCCCACCCGAGTTTATTGAGCAGCTCGGTAAGCTTAGTTTTTAGTGTAGCACCAATTTGAGTTTCGTTGTTAGCAACGTTGACATTAACATTATTCTAATTTTAGGTATGAAGCATGTGCGAGGAATCCTGTTATTCGGTCCTCCTGGAACTGGTAAAACATTGATGGCACGGCAAATAGGTAAAATGCTTAATGCACGAGAGCCTAAAATTGTTAACGGTCCACAGATTTTGGACAAGGTGGGTCTCTAGCGTTCTTGATGCTTCATAATCTCCTTGAGTGCCTTGGAAAATTAACTGTTCAGTACGTCGGCGAATCGGAATCAAATGTCCGGAAGCTGTTTGCTGATGCCGAGGAGGAGTGGAGGAGGTGTGGCTCGAATTCAGGCCTGCACATCATCATATTTGATGAAATCGACGCCATTTGCAAGCAGAGAGGTTCTATGGTGAGAAATGTTTCTTGTATGGCACCCTCCACCTAAACCTGAAAGTCGTGTTCTAATAGGCATCAGCTGCACGGGTAGTTGTAGCTTAGATCCTCACCCCTCCATAGATCTGCCCACTGCCGCAGCACACCCCTCCACTAAGTACCTCTATGGAGGATGTGGACCTGACAGTACTCTATGGACAGGTGTGGTGCGACATTAGGCAGATTAGGAGGATCTCGATCAGTAGTTGGAAACCACGAGAACTGTTTTGCTCTCACCCTTGTACATGGACAGCTTGTAGTCTGAAGAGGGGTGTTCATGGTTGCAAGAGATGCCGTTGTCAAAACAGTCTCTGAAGCTAGCTCAGGTGAGCAGTTTTAACCCATTCGCGACCGCGCGGGATTGCGCAATAGCAGGAGAGTCAGGAGATTTTTCTTCAATAAAATTTGAGTGGATGGAGATTTCCCCTGCCCAGGGCTGGCGTAGATGAATGAGGGTATGAAGATTCTTTTCAGGAAAGAAAACTTTCCAAATTCCATTTGAAACACGGCAGCCACCGGTGGATACCATTGTCCCGAGTGAGATCTTTGTCAGCCACCGGTGGCTGCCATTGTCACGAATGGGTTAAATAGATGTAGGTTGGAGATTTCATCAGAGGATCAGGTTCTAAGTTCTCCTTAGTTTTCCTTCAAATGAACCCTGGTTCAATACCAGTTTTTACTCAACAAATGCAGGCTGGGTCATCGTCTGTGCATGATACCGTCGTTAACCAGCTACTCTCGAAGATGGATGGTGTGGAGCAGTTGAACAATATCCTTGTCATTGGTACGAACTCACTCCTTCGGAATTTTTTTCAGAATTACTATTTATGTGGAACAAAACCTCATCCAAGTAATTGAACAGTGCTAATTTGACTTCTGTTACAGGTATGACCAACAGAAAAGACATGATCGACGAGGCCCTGCTTCGACCCGGTCGCCTTGAAGTCCAAATGGAAGTCAGTTTACCGGACGAGTTCGGTCGCCTACAGATCCTGAGAATTCACACTTCTCGAATGCGGTATTTTTTTTTGATTTATGCACATTCTTATTTGTGAGGTCATCTATAGTGTAGTATTTATTCTTCCAACGGGCGTCATATTTCTGATCTGTTCAGTGAGTACAAGAAGCTGGATCCAGAAGTGAATCTGGAAGAGCTGGCTAAGCGCACGAAGAATTTCTCTGGTGCTGAGATAGAAGGTCTCGTGCGTGCTGCTCAATCCAGCGCGATGAATCGTAGTGAAAGCTGGAGGGAAAGTTCAGCTTGATCCTGATGCCATAGATAAGTTGATGATTAATGCAGCCGATTTCGACTACGCCCTGGAAAACGATATTAAACCGGTTAGTTTTTTTTTGATAGCTTTGTTCAAAGTACCTGTAACTGTCCCGATATTTCAGGCCTTTGGACGAAGTGATGAGTCACTAGAGAAATTCCTTCGTCGTGGTATGGTTGTATGGGGTAGTGAAGTGACGCGTATACTCGAAGAAGGCGCTCGTCTTGTTGAAGAAACCGTAAATCCAGACGCTGGTGGTTTTGTCACCGCCGTTTTAGCAGGTAAGTATATTGTGTTGTTATTTTGAAGAGGAATTTGCTTTTCTCTGTTCCTCTGCTCCGTAATTCATGTCGTTGTTGATTTGTGCGGGCTCATAAAAGTGCTTCTAAATATATTTCATTACGAGCAGTAGTACTAAGGTGGCAGGGTTGCGAGTATTATCTGCAACTTTTGGGATGGTGTCCGTTTACCCCTCCAGCGAATCTAGCTGATTAGAAACTTTGAACTGAATACACTTTAGCTGCCAAGGGGAGTCATGGTCTTGACAATTTCAACTGTCGGGTTGTCCGCAGCCGTACTCCTATTAGGCTGTTGATTTTTTGGTGTTCTTTCGATGAATCTTATTTCTTCTCTGAAATTGGTTACAACTTTAGCAATTGGACCTCTATAAAAGGAACAAAACACATCTAAAATAGTAATATTCTTGAGTAGTCAGTGCTGACCGCGTAGAATAGGAGAAGTAACTGCCTATGTATTCATCAAGTTAGTGATCTCTTTCTTTGTACTGTTTCAATGCATCAATAACATCGCTAGACGTCAACATATTTGGTTTTCTATTGACAGGTCCACCACGATCTGGAAAGAGCTTCTTGGCTGCTGAAATAGCTCGAGCTTCAGACTTCCCTCTTATCAAGGTATGAATGCTTGTCCAAGTAAATACTCTCTCTTCTCTTCCAGTGTCTCCAAACAGCTATTCATTTTGTTGAACTAGCTGTGTCTATTTTAGGTAGTATCTCCTGGAGATATGGTAGGATTTTCGGAATCAGCAAAATGTCAGTGTCTCCGAAAAGCGTTTGCTGATGCGTTCCGTTCCAGATTGAGTGTTCTGCTCATAGATAATGTGGAAAGATTGCTTGGTATAACGATTCTTCACCACACTTCGCGATACCAAGCTTTATGCTTTCATAATTGCTGTTCGTTTCAGACTATTCACCCGTTGGTCCTCGTTTCTCCAATCTTGTTCTTCAAGCATTGCTAGTTTTGTTGAACGAACCTCCTCCACAGGTACTTCCTCAATAATTCATATTCAGTTCCCGCCATAATTTTAGGGCTCCGGTAAGTTTATGATGTCTGTATATCTGTGGGGACTATTGGGTAGGTATTCATTAGCGAATCGATGAGTTTGCATGAATCGTGAAGGAATAATGCCACCGAAAATGTGCTCTAATTATTTCGAGATCCGCTCTACTTCTACTTCTAATTAAGCTTTTATGATCAAGTTTATTTCGGCAATATAATAATTCATTGTCGAAAACCTTATAAAGTTAGAAATCCCCTATAGAAATAGGAATGGTCTCAGATTTCTTTGGTTTCCTTTTGTCTGACTCAGTTCAGAATTGTCAATGTTTGGCACTTTTTTCAATGACTTGGGGTGCAATAGGTTCGTTCAACCTCTTGGAGAATCCTGCGTG